CACTTTTCGACAACTCATTACAACTTTTTTTAAAGTGTTTAAAAAAGGTTTATTTTTGTTAAGTTTCTTGCATCAAGAGTAAGCAAGTTATGACCAATGCTATGACCAAAATATTCAGAAAAGCAAAACCTACATTTTTTTACTCTTTGCGGTTTTTGGTGTCACTAATAAATTTTAAGTTATTTTGATAAAAAGCATTATTTTCAAAATTAAAAAAAAAATTTAAAAATAAGACCTTTGAACAAATGAAACTTACACATCATTATAATAATACAGTAAAAACAATGACCAAGGTATTTATTAGAGAAATCAGGACACGCATTGAAAGTGCAAGACAAGCATTTATAAAAATGAAAAAAATGTTTGTTAATCGAGATCTTAACTAGTTTTGATGGGAAATAAGCCACAATTTTACTAAAAAAATGATTTTATTAACGTAGTAAAAAATTCTTGTAATAATTTAATTAATCTGACTCGTTTATATTGGCAATTCAGACATATATTATACATTTTAAAGTAGAAGACTTTAAAATGATATTGCTAATATTTATGAGTTGCGTTCCTGGGACTATGTTTATATTCTAGCGCGAGAATTTTACTGTCACCATTGCATGTGGATGTCTTTTTAAAAACATATTAGGTACATGTTATGAATTTTTGTGACGGATATTTTTGAGTTGGGGTTGATTTCGTGTAATCGAATTAACTATCTTTCAATAAAGGCGTCCCAGGAACGCAACTTATAAATATTGGCAATATCATTGCCAATATTTTATTATCTACTTTAAAATGTATAATATATGTATGAATTGCCGATATAAATGAATTAGGTTAAATAAATTATTAAAAAATCCACAAGAAAAATATTTCCTGTAGCTGGCTGTATACCACGTATCACAAAAAAGAGGTTAAATCTTTGTATATAGGTATATTTAAAAAACCCTTAAAAGGGCTACTTTGAATAATACGAACGTTTTCCATCGATGGAATAATAATTCCATCATCAGGCTTAAAAAGTTCAAGGTTCACATGCCTGAGCCACCAAAATATCAGGGTAAAAACCCTTTAAAATATATGCTGTTACAAAAGATTGTACATAATGTTATTATAAATTTGTGATGTTTGATAATAAATTAAATTTGGCTACAGGTAACATACACCCATGGTTTGAGTTCCAGTGTCCGGAGAGTAAACCTCTTCAAACGGACTACAGCTGGTAACTGTTAGTAGTTAGTTTATTATTATGATCTATTATACGATCGCATACTTTTTACATTTAAAAATTTTCTGAGGACTTTCTGGAATTACGTCATCGAGGTTTTAAAAGCAAGTAGTGGTGAGTACCAAGTGCAATCGATTTTGACTTTGACAAAATACCACAAATTACCAACGTTAAAAATGAATAATGTAAGTACATATATTAGGCAGGCCTAGGCAGATGACCCTCAATAGTTGGGGGTCATCTGCCTAGGAATAATAGGTAAAAGCTGATAAACGGACAGGATTAGAAAGTTTAAAACATCACTAATTAGATCATATTTTAAAACAAGTAAATAAGTATATTTGAATGTTAATTCTTTTCAAACTAAGATGGTAAAATTAAAATTTTAGGAAAAAAAAAATTATTATTTCTTGTTCTCAAGAAGTACTTTCATTATTGACAATATCTAAACATTTTATTATTAAAAGTCGAGAAGAATTTTCGGAGGAAACGTACATATTTATATAAAAGTGCTATAAAAATGAAGGTATATTACTCTTAAGAAGAATTAATATTTTTTAACAAACAAAAGATATAGGTAGAAAAAAGAGGTTTTTATATTTATTTTAAGTACAATTTGTGACGTTTCTGGTTTGTTTACTGTCGTGGCTGTCAGTCTGTTGAATTTTTTGCTGTTTAATTTGTTGAATTTTTGCATTTTGAAGTTTATTTACCTTTACTTTTGTCAAAAATAAGTAATTTTCTGTGAATCTTTTCCCTTTTAGTTTTTTGTTTGCTTTCATTAACTTTATACCACCGACAAGTTTTTAAAAGTTTGATGTTTACAAAGAATTTTATAATTTTTCTTTTATGGTCTTCACAGCTTTCAAGCCAATTAGTAATTAATAAAATATGCTTAGTCACATAGCTTTCATTTTTTTTTTAAACTGCATTATCTACTTTAAATAAATTAAAAGCCTCGTGAAACTTTTCTAACAATATTGTAGTAATAGTGACTAACAAATCTGATGGTCTTTGAAGAAACTTTATTTCTTCGTTTGCGGCATAATCTCTGAAAAGTAACATTAATTCGTGTTTCTGTAATAAAATTTTATTGTCTTTTAGCAAATCTTCCTGGCATTTAATACAATTCAAATTCTTTATAATCTTATAGTAAATATAACCAGCGATATATGTAACAGCACACGTTTCTAAATTTATGCTATATTTTACTGATATCCATCAATACAATATCAATATTCCCGCAGTTTTTTTGCCAAATTTTTATGCGCTCTACGTCTTTCAGGGGAAATTTAAAGAAAGATATATTATTATTTTTTCCATCGTTTCTTTCAAAACATCCCGCGTAAACACATTTAAGCATTAAAGAGGCCATTTTATCCAAAATGTGAGTCTTTTTTATAAAATTTCGCTATAACTTGTCACAACACTTGACATAGATAATACACTTATAGGGTAAGTTCGGCCCTGACACCACTCCTATCTCCTCGCAAACCAGAAAGAGAATAAGAATCTCGATACGGTTTTCGAGTAACGCCATCTAGTTTTTGATACGTCTTTCGGTTACCACGAGGTGAGCTATCTATATGGTGGTTTATAATCAATGACTAAACATGGAAATGACAAGTAAGGAGTATTATGTAATCGGCAAACCAAACCGAAACCAATAGTGGTATTAGACTATAATAAAGAAAAAGCAGCAGTTGATTTATCAGGCCAACTAGAGGCATACTCTAATCCTCTAAGGAACAGCGTGAACTGGTTTAGAAAAGTAGCTTTCAAACTTTTATTAACGACATCTATGGTAGATTCTTATATTTGATACAAGCTTGTAACTGGAGACAAGCTATCCATTACAGATTTTCAAAATCAGGTAGTGAAGCATCTAGTGACACTCAATGAAGACATAAACTCAGATAAACAAATACCTACGCCAATTATTGTTAATCACGGTATTGAAGAGAAAACAGATGGAAGTAAACATCAGCGAAGAAACATGTGCAAAAAGTGTTATAACAAGAACAGTCAAGAGTATGAACGCCAATATACAAGGAGCAAAACTAAAACGATACATACCTTTTGTAGAGCTTGTGCGAACGAGCCATTTTTGTGCATACCTTGTTTCAATAAACTTCATAAAAATTAAATCATATAAGAATTTTTATTTTTTGTATAGCGTTAATATTAATATAAGCGATTAAAGTTTAATAATTATTTTATTCATGTAAACATGTTTATTTGTTAAATAAAATTTATTTTATTAATTAATTTACAATGCCACAAGAAAATAGCTTCAGAACAATATTAAAATTTATTTTAAAGCGAGTGTTACGTTTTTATAGGGATCATTTTCCAATAGGGACCGTATATCTCATTATGAAAAAATCTAAAAATTGTATGTGCGTAATATAGCTTCTAGGCAATGTTGGTCCATGTATACAATCGTATATAGTTAAATATGCACCAACGGCCCATTAGCTATTAAAGGATGTGTTGACCACATGGGACCAACATGGACTGGTAGGGCAAATGTTATGTTGGCCCCATCGGACCAATGTGGCATGCTGAGGCAGCATCAGTGCTGGTTCTAAAAGACCAATGTGGCAGTGAACGCGTTAAATAAGATTGAGGTTGATCTAAAAGATTCACAACTTTAAAATAAACTCTATGATCAGTTAAATAAACAAATTCCCCAATTGTTCCATCCGGCAATGTTCTGGTCCGATTTTTTAAGGCACTTGTTATAGGGAAGGTCCATATATATATCCAGTCCATACTATAAGGAAGAAATGACCTTATATTTCTTCCGTATAATAATTATTCTGTTGGTAAAAAACACATGATAGATTGTAGTTCTATAATCTTTGAGAATGTTATAATTTTTTTTTATTAAATTTGTTTGCAACCTTTACGACAGCCTAAACAAATCCGTTGGACTCTGGAAAAATATGGTGCTGATTATCAATTCAAAATCACATTCTTGTAAAAACCTTGAATAGTAGTCTGAGAATATTAAGTATCATGTATTATGATATTTATATAGATCCAAAGCTGCTTTCTGCTATGGCTTATCATGAAATTTATCAGCAATCATAGGTTCTTTAGGAATAATTCTATTTACTGAGGACAATTCATAACTATATCTGCGAAAACCACCACAATAAAGATTTAGCACGGTTAACTAAACACTTAACAATACCAGAATGACCTTCATGAATCAATTTTAAGACTTGTAGTTCCAAGGTATAAGGTATCACAATGCGAGAACCTCTCAGTAAAATATCCTCTGACAATGAAAATTCAAACCGATTGGTATAAGGGATTCATTCAGGATTTAATTTGTTTTATTATTTGCAATGATTGTAATCACTAGTATTTGACAGTATGCTGTTTTGTATTGATATTTTCTATAGTTTCACTATTTTCTTGCCTATTAACCTTGCTAATATTGACTCATTACTGCACTCAACACCGCTGCCATTATACTTAGTTTGATTTCTTGAGTAAATAAAGTTACTATTTATTAGGATATATTTATCCATACTTTGTAACATTATTAGTTCTTCCGCTGAATCCTAACCTTATACTAACCCTTCTTATATCCTTCTCCCCCTGTATAGTAGGCAACTATAGATACACTACGATACTAACACATTAATTATTATTACACTACGTATAAGGCTAACGAATTTAAGTCTAAAATCAAACTTTTCGCTACGTATACATAACACAAAAATCTTACTCTACATGGTATAAATTAGAAATGAATAGTACTTACATTTTGTGGATGGACGTTTTGCTTCCTGATACATTATCAGCATCTTGATGGTTGTGATTTAAGGCGGGCAGTGATATGGCAGAAGAAGGAACCTTTAAATCTATAAAGAAAAAAAAACGATCTAAAGTAATACTATATTCAGTGTATATAATACTGTATATAAATAAGGACGAGATACAAAATTCTCGATCTAAATCCCTTTGTTTTGTTTGTCTGTCGTAACAAATTTCATTGTAAAAGTTTTTGACTTATGTGTAATTTAAATAGAATAATAAAGACCCATGCCCTCTTTGAACCTATTTATTAAATATAATTCGTCTTTTATAAAAAAAAACTGAAAAATAAAAAGTGCTATAATACAGTAATTTTTGTCTATTTCACAAAGCTAAGTTTAATCTAAAAATCCAATTGGTTATCAATGGAATGTTTGCCCTAAAATTTTTAATTTACGTATATCCATTGTTAATTATAGCCCCATAGATCGTATACAAGTAATAAGAACACTAATTGAAAAATCAAACGAATACAACATAATACTCTGGATAGCTATGGTAGATTATAAGAAGGCATTTAATTCCATAGAAATTTGGGCCATCCTAAACGCCTTGCTTTAGAATTGATGACCGATATACAAAAAGCATTAGGTATGTATATGACACTGCAACGTCGCAAGTAAATACAGAACAAAAATCAGAAAAAATAAAACTACAGAGAGGAGTTAAACAAGGAGATTCATTCTCACCCAAGCTATTTACTTTAGCTCTAGACCAGAACATATGTTTCGAACTTTAGAATGGGGAAATAAAGTGAGTGACAATAGACGGCGAAAACCTTAATTACCAGATTTGCCAATTGTGTTGTGGTAATACTCGTAGCAAAATATAAGGAAGAATTGCAGAAAATGCTATTAGGCCTAAATACAAAATCAAAAGAAATAGGACCAAAAATAAATCTAGCAAAAACTAAATATCTAATAAATTAATTACTATTTTAATGTGAATTAGCCACTACTAAAGTTTAAAATAAGTTTATTGGCGTTTTAATTTTTACTTCGGAAATTGTTCTCAAAATACAAACATAGATTTTTTTCTTTAATTTATAGTTAAACTATTTGGTGGATTGTTGAGTCAGTCATTCTAAATTATTTTTGTTTCTAAACAAACAGAAAAAAAGCTTATCCTGCTAAGTCAAAGTCAAAGAATCGGTAAGTGCAACATTCAGGAATTGATACAGCCTCACTGCTCAACAAAATAAAGTCGTTAAAATAAACAAAGGGCGAAAATATCTAAAATAAAAACGTTAATTATTAAAATGTCTCGTTGAAAAAGAGAAATACAATATAGAAAGTGTATCAATAAAGATAAATAAATTATTGTACTTACTTGTTGCGCTGAGATGATTGTTTTCACTGGCAGAAGACAGTCGATGATATGAAGGTCTCTGAAGGTTTGGAGACCTCTGCAATATATAAAATTTATTTATTAATATAATGCTCAATATCAATCATACAATTTAATATTGTAAATAAAGTATCCCTGGACATTGTTACTCTATAAAAGGCTCGATAGAAGATGTTACAGTTTTTAAAAAATTCGTACAGAATGACAATAGTGACAGAATAAAAGATGATGCACATGTACCCCTTGTTGGTTTATTATTACCTATGTATTGTTTGCGAAGCAAACTGATATTTATTCTCAAAACCCTAATGTCGTTTAAATATGACATAAAATCAGAAACTATCAGGATTTTTTTAACCTAATATTGTTCTAAGCCGAATAGAACAAGCCCGAGCTGCCTTTGTAAAAATGAGAAACGTACTTTGCAGTCATGATCTTAGCATTGACCTTAGAGTTCGTATGATATCTTGCTACATCTTTCCTGTCCTGCTGTATGGAGTAGAAGCGTGGACCCTAACTGAGGCTATGCTTAAACGCTTGACAGCCTTTGAGATGTGGGTATACAGACGACTACTGAAAATAAGCTGGGTCGACAGAGTTAGAAATGAGGAGGTCCTTAGACGGCTGAACCAAACAACACAACTGGTCAATATAATAAAGAAACGCAAGCTGGAATACTTCGGTCATATTATGAGACACCCTGAAAAATATGATCTTTTACATCTGATCATTCAGGGAAAGATCCAAGGTAATCGTGGTCCTGGTAGAAGAAGAACATCATGGCTGAAAAATCTAAGGCAATGGTATGGAAAATCAACTACATCGTTATTTAGAGCTGCTGTCAATAAAGTCACGATAGCGAATATGGTAGCCAACATGATATCCAACGATCGATAGCGGTCATGGAACTAGAAGAAGAATATTGTTCTAAAGCTATTTTCTTGTGGCATTGTAAATTAATTACTATTAAACTGGGAATAAGCCACAATTAAAGATAAAAATAATGCAAAAATAATGCTAATATCTAAATCACCACAAAACTTCCCTGACATAACCGTGCATGATCAAAGGATCGAACGTGTACGAAGATATAATTACCTGGGAACTGTTATCAACGAAAATAATTATTGCTCTGAAGAAATCAGAACCAGAATAGAGAAAGCTAGAGCCACATTTACTAAATTGAAAAAGATGTTCTGCGGAAGAGATCTAAGTCTAAAACTTAAAATTCGCCTTTTGAGATGTTATGTTATGTCAGTTCTTCTCTACGGGATGGAAACATGGACATTGAAAAAGATCGATACCAAAAAGATAAAAGCATTTGAGTTGTGGATGTATCGTAGAATATTAAGAATACCCTGGACAGAGAAAGTAACAAATGTGGAGGTTTTGCGGAGAGTGCGGAAAGAGAAAGAGCTGATACTTACTGTTAAAAAGCGCAAACTACAATATTTGGGACATGTTATGAGGGGAGATAAATACCAGTTGCTGCAATTGATTATACAGGGAAAGATAATGGGAAAGAGATCTATAGGAAGAAGAAGGCATTCATGGTTGAAAAACTTGAGAGAATGGTACAATTGCACCAATTACCAACTGTTTAGATCTGCAGCACCAAAAATACGCATAGCTTTGATGATAGCCAAACTTCGGAACGAAGACGGCACTTGAAGAAGAAGAAAGATAAAAATACGTTTATTGACGTTTCAATTTCCACTTCGGAAATCGTTCTCAAAATACAAAATTTTACATTTTTGTTTGTATTTTGAGAACGATTTCCGAAGTGGAAATTGAAACGTCAATAAACGTATTTTTATCTTTCTTAATAAATTCTTAATAAATTATCGTGTTTTAGTAAATTAAAATAAGAACAATAAATTAGAATCAATAAAAACATTACAATATTCTGAAAACGACTTTCTAAGTGGAAGTTTAAAGGTCAATAATACTTTAACCTGTAATTGTGTCGTATTCCCATTTAAATAGTAATTACTTTAAAATTATTCGTATTCAATAAATAACTAATACAAAATATAAATCATAAACTATAAAACAATAAATGTAACATATTTTAGATTAATGTTTAAACAGTATTCTAGACCTAAAAGTATTTAGTAAAACATTCTGAACTGTCGATTGTGACGAGCAGTAATTAAAAATTAGTCATCATAATATAAAAAATGTAACGGGTGTCCTATTTAAAAAATTGCATGTTTGTCTTACCAGGCAGCTATTAACCTTTCTGAGTTAACGTGCGGACTATGAGTCCGCTTGTCGAAATATTTATCGATTTCTGACGATTAATTATGATTTCGGTCGTCGCGTGCTCGCTAGCTTCAAGCGAGGGAACAATCTATTTAGTACAGTTATGAGAGTTGTCTAGTGCATTTAGTTCTGCTGCTGTATTGAATTGCGGTACGTGAGTCTACGCGATATATAAGTTTTCACAAATCTTCAGGTAGGATTCAGTTTTAAAATATTTTATTTATGGATAAATAAAAAATATTTGTGTAATTTATACTTGGGAGTGATCTACTGATTGTGTTTTCTGTATATTTGATTCATATAACCACGACAATGACATGGGAGAAGAAATTGAGGATCCAATCTCAGAAGTCTTGAATGTTCCACAAAGAGCGCTGCATTTCATTGGTAAGTATGGAACAACTAAATGGAAGATACATCTAGGAAACCGCCGGAGACAAACTCGCAGTGACAATTTAATAAAGGTAAAAATTTCTGAAGTAACTAGGGAGGTACTACATATGAAAATTGGTGGTCTTACAATTTCAGTAGTAAATTTTCAGAAAAGATAGATATTTTAGAACTTAGGGCACTATTGGGTCTTTTATATTTAGTTGGGGTAACTAAAACTAACTACAAAAATACAGACGATCTCTTTAGAACAAACGGCTCATCGCCAGAGATTTTTAAATTAACAATGTCCCTTGCACGTCTTAAGTTTTTGCTCAGACACATTCGTTTTAATGAAAAACGAACACATATGACAGATTGGCAGCTGTAAGAGAATTTTTCGATTCGTTTAATTCAAATTTGCCTAAACATTTTTCATTATTAGTAGATATATTTAGCGATAAATAAAAAACTGGAAGCTTTTCGTGGTAAGTGTGGCTTTAGGGTATATAAGCTCAATATACATAATAAATACGTCATAGAAATCTACGCATTAGTAGACGCTAAAATCCAGAGATTCACGTTGGACAACAGCCACCTGTCCCATATAAAATTGATAAGAGAAATATTTCCCTCGTTCCTCGCCTTTGCACTCCTATATCTGGTTGTCACAGAAATATAACAATGTACAATTTTTACGAGCCTCAGCTTGGCCGAACTTGCTTTGAACGAACATCATCTGACTATGATTGGCACTATGAGAAAAAAAACAAAATAGAGCTTTCACTTCAATTTACTGATCCTAAGAGACCAGAAAAAAACAAGTATGTTTGCTTTTAGAAAAAAATGTTAGAAAAAAATGACCTGACCATATCTCAATGACAGAAAACTCAGAGGTGCATAAGATAAACAAAGAAGAACTGAAAAAATAATTGAAACATGAAAAATGGAAAAACACCCGGGCCTGGAGACATTCCCATCGAGTTGGTGAAATATGGACCGGATGCTCTTTTGGAAAGCTTAGTGAATATTTTTAATAAATGCATAATATAAGGCCAAACGATTCCAGACGATTAGAATTTGGCCCACATTAGCCCCATTTATAAAAACGGAGACAGAAAAGAGTGCGGAAATTATAGAGGCATTAGCGTAACTAGCTTGCTGGGAAGGTTATATAGTCATATATTGAAAAGAAGAATAGAAGAGGAGTATAAAGAAATTGAAAAACAAAGCGGCTTCAGAGCAGGAAGATCGTGCGTGGACAACACATTTACCCTTCAACAAGTAATTGAAAACGAACAGCTCGAAACCTCCCTACGCATCTGGTATTTATAGAGCTGGAGAAGGCTTATAATACAGTTTCTTTAAAACTCTTATTTAGTGTCTTAACGAAAACGGACCTTGGTAAAACATATCTAAAAGCAATACTGAACATCTATAAATGTGTTCAAAGTACTGTAAAAACAGGAAATACTTTCTCAAGGGTATTTACAGTAAAGAAACGCTTGAGACAAGGATGTTGTCTTTCCCCCACCCTATTCAAAATATATATCCAAGAAGCACTGCACCAATGGAGACAAAAATGTGCGGGAATGGGGTTAAAGCTTAACAACCATTATCTGACAACGCTGTTCTTTGCAGATGATCAAGTACTAATTGAAAGCTGTGAAGAAGATGCAGATTATATGATTAGAAAGCTCAAAGATGAATATGAAAAAAGGGGTATGAGTATGAATATGTCAAAAACAGAATATATGCGAATAGGCAGTGAAGACGAAGACCCGGATTTGGAAATTAGACAAATGAAGAGGTGCTACGAATACAAATATTTGGGGAGTATTATCTGCAGTAAAGGAACAACGGAACGAGATATAAACTATAGAGTGTAACAAGGCAGGAAGAGTGTTCAAATTCTGAATTCGATACTTTGGTCCAACAAAGCTACTATGAGAACTAAAATGACTATCTACAAAGTAATTGTAGAGCCCATTCTTACATAAGGAGCAGAATGTTGGCAAATGACAGTAAAAGAAAAGAAAAAAGTTGACACGGTTGAAATGGACTACCTGAGAAGAGCTTGCCGTATATCAAGAGTAGAACGTATATCTAATTCTGAAATTAGAAGAAAAACACATATAGTACATATAACTTCTGAATAAATAGAAACTAGAGAGTTAATAGGGTATGGACACGTACAGAGGATGGACGACAACAGATGGCCAAAAAGAGCTATAGAATATAATCCAAGTAATAAAAGGAAACGAGGAAGACCAGCCAAGTCTTGGATATAAGGTGTTATGGAAACCATGAAAGACAGAGCCATTTATATTCAGAAAAATGTTATTTTACTCTCAACGATGCACCACGACGATTCGCTAGACGACTTAACGGGCAAGCCAGAAATCCTTATTGACTATAATAATT